TGGACTGCTTCTGGCTCCGCCGCAAGTCCTGTGATCTGTCCTGTCCTGTCCTGACCTTGACAGTTTATGTCAACCATAATCGGGACATGTATTGGAAGCGAAATCTTGTTAGAACATTTGGTGACTAATCTAGGACAGAATGTTTTCCCTCATTAAGGGACAAGTTATCAAACCTTTTTTAAAGTAAGTGTGTTGTTCATGTATGGTTCATCAATTTTTTTATCGTGGAATATCCTGGCTTTTGAAAGAATCGGGGCACGTGAACTTCATGCACTATGATAGAAAGTAACCTAGGGTTCAAGCGCTTCACGAGCAGGCTAAGTTTGATGAATGTTTCACTTTAATATAATTAGGCGTATTCTGCAAATTTCGTCGCGTACAGAATTGAAAACTTGTCGATAATCTTGTTCAACTTCGCTTTCGTAACACGTGATGGAGGAGACAAACGACATCATCTTCAAGCCGAAACTCGACAGAGCTATGCAGAAGTACTGGTCCGGTGTCAACAACTAATCAGCACATTGGAGCACAATATAATGGTGCTAATAGGCGGATTCTCACTTCCCTTAGAAGACCTGAATATTCCCTCTGAGCGGAGGTGGTTGAGACCAACTGTGTTTTCAGATCATTGTCATTAGCGAGTTACCTTGGCTCCTAGACCCGCACATTTTACGTTCCTTCCGCTTTTTCGGAAGGGGGTATCCTTAGGTGCAGTCTCTAATATATGCATAAATTGAAAATCCGGGAACACGTCACCTTTCTGCTTCTCACAGAGCCAGCCTCGGGAATCCCATGTTCCAACACAAATGGAACTCTCGTTTACAGTCCGCATCTTTTGCCGTGGATAACATCCCCGGTAGTGTAAACTGTACTGGTACAACTCGTTTCAGTAAGAACCCAGTCCTCAGCTGCAGTTTGAAATGCTCTCTTTGCAGCCTAAGTCTATGAACCCTATTGCCAAAATCTGGAAATGACTAGATTGTTTATAAGAAATAAGAGATTTATCCGCCACGTTTTTTATTGACGTATTTTTACACAGCGGTAATCCGTAGCAAACGAGGATGTTCGTTAATGAACCGGTCAGGCAATCAAAGACGCCTAGATGCATTTAGGAATTAATAAGTAAATCGAAGTCCGGAATCTACCTCATAAATCATGGCACTAAAATTTACCTACTGGGATCATTTGACCGCTATCATCGTTCAGCGAATTACAATGAAGTGATCACTGTGAAGCTGATAATGAATAAAAAGTAATTAAAAATTTGGAAGGTGTTCATAAAGTGGGACTGTTTTGAGGAAGGGGAAAGCCAAGTGAATATCTGTGATCTGCATGCATGGGCGTTATGCAGAATCCAGTTGACCTACGTGCATATATCGAGCATTCTTACCTTCAATATCACGTCTAAGCTAGCGGGGTCTTATGTGGTTCGCCACTCCAAGTCCCGGGGCTTTGGTGACCGGTTTATATGACGGAGCAACAGGTCTTCGTGTCTATGGGGTTCGCCCCGTCTGCTGTTCACCACACAAATGTGTGCCATATAAAAAGAAAATGTTTGTGATAACCGACAACCGACGGCTATTTCGTCCTTAGTATTTAGTTCACAGAGGAGGATAAGCAATCGCACTATGTTAAAATGCAGTGCTCGGCTTTGGGTTAAAATGCAAATAAACGAATAAGAATTCCGCAGCAGGCGCGCCAGTGACATCGGTTTCAAGCCATGCTGGCTCAAGTTAGGAGCCATGTATGTTTGCTGTCTTTGGAGCCCCAACTTGATAGCTTAAAGCGCCCCACAACTACTATTTTTGGGTTTAACGCCTTCATCTTTCGAGCTCAGGTTATTCGTTGTCCACTTCGTCGCCGCTTCTAGTTAGTGTCGGCATACCCAAACATAATACGATGGGGTAGTCGTTGAATTGGCATCTCCAACACATGTTCCAGCCATCAAGGTCCTTGGTACGAGATGGTGGCACCCAGCGGACTACCAAAACGGTGTGAGGCGCGATTCTTCGTTGAATCTCATTTTTGATGATTGGCTGTTACCAGCGTATCCTGGCAATGAAACGGTGCTCGAAGACACTTAGTATTCGTACTTCTTCTGCGTGAATCAGCCAGCACTTTCAGCCGTAGAGTAAGACTGCGGATACGGTGAAATTGTAGAATCGGCTTTTCAAGGAAAAACTGAGATCGCTTCGAGGTCACAAGTGGCGTAGGTTAGCGGTCACCAGGGCCTTGCAGATACTCGTTGATAGTAAAAATGGCCCACGTCCGTGCCATCCGTTATTCTCAGCGTTGGTATGTCTTTTAATAAATGTTTGTATATCTGCAATGTGACTCGAAGCTGCTTGATTCGTCTCTGGAGAAAAGGTTACGGCACACTGATCTTGGCTAACAAAGCTGTTTTTTCTGGGAATAAAATACCTGACTGTTGTCAATAAAGATACATATATATGTATATATTTCACACACGTCTGAGTTTAGACTATGTGCCAAACAAATCGCGATACAATAATCTTTATAAAAAGTATAACGTTCCACAATTTGCATATGGGCCGAATATTACCAGGTTGCCCAGGCCAAAACAGGTGAATTTTCTTGAGGAATTCAGAACCCTAGCCTTCGGCTAGCCAAAGCCTGACCCGCAAGGCAGCGGGGCGGTGAGCGGAAACCGCAATAAACGGATACTCAAGTTGTAAGTCATTTCTGCGTGAAAATCTTACGATTTTATCCGGGGTCACGTGAGTGAGGAAAATAACGTGAAAGTAGTTAAAATTTGCATAGGAAAAACAGTCGCGGGCAAATTTTCTTAGTTCTGGTGGAAATTCTGGCGTGAAAGGTAAACAAGTGTGACGAAGAGCAAAGTGATGGAATGTTAATATCGCTGGGTATTTACCAAGGAAAAGCTGTTTAAATTCTACCGACAGGCAGGATCTCTACCCCTCGATCGTTATTCTTTATTTTGTATACAATGTTTGACAGGAAACCTGCTGTTTTACACTTGAAACAATAGCAGTAGAAATAGCAAACGTTGTGTTATCCTTATTTACCGAAATTCTTCCTTTGTAGGCTGAAAAATGAAGCAAAAGAGTGATGTTTCACAACTTCACGGTTGGTAAGGATTGTAGGAGGCCAGATTTACAGTGTTCAGGATTAGATGTATACTGCAGGTTGGTGGCCACTTGGACACAAGACTGACTAGTGTCAGCCAGAGTAGAAAATATAAAGAAATATATGGCAACTGTTGGATGTAAATCAATGAATACAACTGAATTTTAGGATGAACAATTTGCAATAGGATTGGCGATTCGTCGAACCTGATTGAGAAGAAAGACAAACTGTATTTCATACAGAATGCTGTACTCAAGGGTGGGACGAACATAGGCTTTGGAGAATAAAAGAAAACTTGTGAAAAGGAATCCAGTGTTGCCAGCAGTAACATGCGCATCAAGAACTGGATTGAGTCGGTCGATTTATGGTGCCAAAAGTGAAGGGAGCTAGAGCCTCAAAATAATTAAAGATAAAAATCTGCTTTTGTAGATATGAATGTTGAGTAAACTTTGCACATATTAAAAGAAAGAGAGTTTTGAAACCTTCACGCAGAGCAAGATCAAAGTTGAGCAATGTAATAAACGATGGGCAGTCAAAACTAGTGTGAGCTTAGGGGAGTTGAGAGTATCAATAAATGTAAAGAATTCGCTATCAGCCACATTGATAAGACATGTAATAAAGTAAAAGCTGAGGATAATCCAAGAGGCTGACATGTTGAATTAATAGCCTTTCAGTCTCTGGGATCTTGAGTCGTGCGCATTGATGATGTTCATCAAAACTGAAATGCTATCACAGAACTTGCACAAATGATAAGTGGTTAATGTTTCTAATATTCTGCATTATGAATCCAATCTAATGTTCGGATGTTGCCTAATCTTCTTTCCTCAGTAAGATACTGATTTATTACTGTTAGGTTCATTAAAGCAGTGCGATGGTAATCGCCGTCAGCAATGTGTTGTATTTTTCCTTGGTTTTATTAGTGTTTGTATAAACTAAAAAATAAACGGATTTTAGTCGTTCCGTGTGAAAAATACACAGCCCGTCTATATTTCTCAAGGTTTACAAAAAAATTGTCGGCTGATCAAATCAACCTCAGTGTACTGAAGGGCGAAGGAGAGTTGAAATCGCTCGAACTGGATGAAACAACTTTGATGGAGTTACTCGATCTACCAACTTGGCTTTATCTGAGAAAAGCACATTGTTCTAACATATCCTTCAAAGTGTGTCTTGCTTTTGGCATTTAACTATCTATTCTTTATTAGATACGATGGACAAAACTGGAAACTCATCCGGTTTCTGTGGTTTGTTGGTAGTTTCTGCGAATCATGTATCTATTATTTCAGGTAATTGATCGTGTAGATGTGGAGCTGGAAGCGTTGGAAGAACCAAGACCTGCAAAGGATTCTATATTTGCTAGTTATAGGTAATTGAGCGTATGCCTTGATAATCCCATTTTTTTTTATTAAGGACCGGTTCGGGAAAATACAAACTTGCAGATAAAGTAGTGGATGGTGCGACCGTTGTGGTCAATTCCGTCTTCATTCGGTTCTATGCACAGGCGTTCCATGCTTCTATTGAAGTGAGTCTGAACACTCAAGACCTAGTTTGGCAAATTCTTTTCTTCTAAATGGTGCATTTTTGAATGCAGAGTTCTAAATGTTTTTCATCTCTGTTCTGCTCAATTTTGAGTTGTCTATCACTCCTTTTTGAAGACACTTCTGCGTTTTATTTTCTTACTATAATGTTGTTGCCTTGATTTAAGTATATTCAGTAAATAGAGGGGTAACTAAGAGGTATGTAAATAAAAATATGAATGAGTAACACCCAATAATTGGAATTGAGCATTAGAAAATCAAGTGTTTGTGAATAAGTTTACTTTCATAACTTCGTCCTCAGGGGCATGCAACTGTGTGTTAGTTCATATACTATTTATTTATATTCACATTTGTCTGAGGACAGACTGTTTGCCAAATCATGGTACAATAAGCTTTATAAAAAAGAAAAAAATCATCCGTGACCTGCCTGTGGGCTGAGTACTGCCAGGTTGCCCAGGGAAAGGCAGGTGAATTTTCGTTATATACAGTATCATTTAAAATAAAATTAAAAATAAAAAAATATAGGATATTATTTTTAACGAGAACATCTCATGGATCAAGGACAGTGCGCATCCACCTGTATAACGAACAGACAAAATTAATTGGAATAGACCTGGTCAAGTTTGGCTGCATGAACTCGAACTTGTAATTCATCCACCAATTAAATGTTTGGTCCGGTTCAGACTTTTGGAAGCAGTTTTCGCATATAAAATTCAGATAGTTTGTTCATTGGTTTTCATTTGCCTATTTTTTAAAATAATAATCCCAGAAATATTTTCGCATAGGTATCACAATACTCACGTTTCGATAATTAGGTCTTTTCTATCTTATCAATGCTTAAGGACTTTTTAATTCTCAGGGCCATCCAATTTGCGAAATGAAAGAACAATAAAGAAAATCATTGAAAAAAGTAGGGTTATTGTAAGTTCAATCCAGTGGAATAACAACACATGTACTGGCCCCACTTGAATGGTTTACTTTTAGTGTTTCTACCTTTACGTGAAACCGCTTACTGAATCCAGAAAGTGCAATCCAAAAGACAAGACTGATGGGCGTAGAGATGGGTTGTCAGTTTTAAGTGGTTTTGAACATTGAACACTTTCAACACTGTCACGATTAAGCTTAGACTTCACTTAGTTCATTAACGGGCGTTAGGACTACAGAAGAGGAATTCAGAGTCGTGCTTAGAGGCATTTTGACCAGGCTGGTTTATCTTCTCTTTCCTCTTTTCATTTCCTGTATTTGTATGGATCATGCTTTGAGTAATTGTGTATTCGGCCTGATTGTAAACAAATGTAAACGAGCTTGTTCACCGTATTATATTTTGTCTACAATGAATGGGATTTTTAGTACAGCTAAAGCAAGTAAAGGACCTTATGATAATACCGTGTAATTTTTCGAACAGTTACTGACTGGTATCTTACAAGTTGTTGTGTGCTTGTACAAAGTGATTGGCTTATTAAAGAATGAACGCTCAATATATATACATGGTGGTGAAAGTTTTTGGTCCAAAAACGTTTGCTCATTGGATATTTGGAACAGCAAACGTTATTACATCGAGCTAGTCGATCTCTGAGTAAACTCAATGAAGTAATAGCGAAAATTGTGAACTTATCCAGGAGATTGACTCAAATTCTTTTCAGAACCGATCTTCACAGTATGCATGCCGATGTAATCTCATTTGAAACTTTTTAATAAAATAGGGTAACTGAAACAGGTGAAAGAAATTGAAAGTAACTCGGGTCCGCGGAAGACGCACTGGTCGTCGACGAGAAGTGAACAAAAAGTTTTGACTCTAGCCTTCACGGTTACTTTTGATACCAGTATATGCGGTTGTCAGCTCCTGCTTCATCAGTTTTCTCCCTGTTCCAACACCCGAAATCCTGTCTAGGCTTCCCTAATATAAAGAAGAATAGTGTTAAAACTGTTGCATTGTTTACACTCATTTGTTAATGATTTCCTTGTGAACCACTCACGGAAATCTGCTGCATCTCTAAATTCATAAATGCTTCTTCCTCTCTCCTGGCTTGTTCAGTTATCCCGTTTGACATTAGTGAGCAAAACGCCCAAATGGCAAAATGGTGCTTTGAATCTCACGAGCCTTCCGTTTCCAGCAGGTGATGCAGTTCTGATATTCAAAGAAATTTCGTGGGATTCCATTCGCCTTGTTGCTGATGGCCTGTTAAGTGAATTAAACGGGATCCCTGTGAAACTGATCACCAACACTGGTAGAATTCGACTCACGCTAAAGAAACGCCTTAGTGGTAAGAACTTTGTGTTATTTAACTTCCTACATTTTTGTTTCTGTTCCTTTCATTCTTTGTGTACTATGGTAGTCATATTTTTTGTTAGTAATTTCCATTTTCAATTGAAGACATTTTTAGACAGTTTCTTAACGATATTCCGTTGCTGAAGATAAATGTCAATCATTCATATATATCGGATGGATTCCTATCACCCATTATTAAATGTTTCTCCTAGGATTGTTTACAGTTGCTCATTGATTTGCGTTACACACAATGGTTGTCATGTAATGTGTTAATTCATTTCTCCAGTTTACAAATCTGTCTCATTCTGTCGAATATCTCGGTTTCTCTCGTTGACCGTGTTCGAACAACCAAAATCCGGGACTGCTGATAAAACTTATCTGGACGAAATATATCGATCCATTTTGCCGGTATAAAATGAATATCGAAGCAATTTAAGGGTGCGCTCCAGTTTAAATGGTCTAATCAATTCACTTCCGCTTTTTACAATTAGTTAGCTTCCGTTTTTATGCTGCGGCTGTCGTCAGTTTTTTTATTTACAGAAAACAACAGAACGGCACTAATAAGATCAAGTTATATGATGAAAGCGGTATAAGTCGGATGAGAAAAGTGAGCATATTCACGAACACCTTGTGTTTATGACTTTCGGCCATGTTATCCGGTGAATCCCTGTGAAACGTTAACTGTTATCCGGCTCAATAGTTAACATAATCTTTCACCTTTCCTCCGGACTGTTGTTCCATATTTCGCCGAGTTCCTTTGACCGATTTCTATGCCACCAAACGTCGTGCCTCTAAAATGACTGAGGACGTGCGCAACGCAGATTCTTCTCATCCAGACCCTTGATGACCAATTTTATTCGTCACAGCTGCTCAGGAAAATGTGGTAAATTGAACTTCTCTGATTGTTGCTAATCTCCTAATATGTAGGGGATACGTGGCACACATAGATTGGCCACCAGACTGTCAGCATTTCCACCGAACCGATCACTTTTCTGTCAGCATACAAAACGTTTGAATCCATGATTAAGTGAANTTAAGTGAATTATTCGGTTATGGTTCTAATTGAGTGAAGTCGCAATGAGGCTGAATATTATAGGAAATCAGACTTACGCGAGGACGTTGATTTTGTGGCATACGCAAAGTTATTAGATCTTTCTCTCGTTCTATACCTGCCGTACATATTATGTTAAAAAAATCAGTGGTTTTTCATCACAACTTTTGAACGCAGATTTAAAATGTATGGGTGTTTTGTTTACTGTCAGAAAACATTCCTTGTTCAGTTTGCACCCATCTTACGTCTTCTGAAGTCGTAAACTATGACTGATAAGGCTCGCATCCACCTACCGATGTCTGACCGTAAAAGATTGATCAACATTCAGCATTATCGGGTGACGTTGACGTGAAATTAACCGTCTCAGTTGACTCGAATGGGTCGGGTGCCAACAAACAGAGCCCCATATATCTACACGTGGAGATTTGAACTGCCACAGGTGTAGTAACTATGTCTTTTCGATGATTTCTAACACGGATGACAACGGTGTTTAGTTTATTCCATGCTCATCTCTTGGACCGAACTCGATAAATGACTTTCCTATCCATATTATTACTGTGGCAACGACTGATGAAAATTACAATACTAGTTATTGCTACTAGTTTGAGCGTTTCTGTACCGGTGACAAAAAAGCGGCTCACTTTTTTTACCATCACTCCATTCACCCACTTCCATTGCAGATTCCGCTTTGATCAGTACTCGAATCCAACTGATATTGGATGATCTCTTATGGGTACTCACTCTATCACAGGTTGAGGCTGCTATTGTTTTCTTGCGATCCCTGAAACGCAGTGTGGTTTTGGCTGCTCAGCAGAGCAGACAGTATGCGGAGTCTCGAGCCAAAGTGAGTGCTAATTAAGGTCTCACGAACCTGAAATATCATCTGGTTATAACTGTCCATATCAGTGCTTTGTGCTCGGTTTGATAACGAGAATCTTGAATCAGTTTTGTCGAATCTAGTTTGGGTAAGACTAAATATTGTTTTTCAACGAATGATGTTTGTGGTTTAGCGATCGAAGACTATCTGGAGTTTGGCAATTAAGATCGTCCTTATTTTCGTAATATGGATAGTGTTTGTCGATATTGCCGTTCCGGTTGTGCTGATCAATGCAATCCTAATCAATACTCATCTATTCGAGTTGGGGTCCAACAGACTGCGTAACTGAAGAGTTGGAAATATTGAAGGTCATGGTGGGAAACCGAAAGCAGTGGTGTTCATATATATATATATTTCACAGGTCTGATACCAGACTGTACCAAACAAATCATGTTACAATAATCTTTATAAAAAAGGAAGACGTTCCATGATTTGCATGTAGGCTGAATACCCCAAACTGCTAACTCGATTCATTCTTTTGCTGATGACGCCACCCTCCACTGCTCCCTCTCCTACCGCACTGCTCGCCATGCCCAAAACAACATCGATGGTGACCGTAGTGCAGTTAATCTGTCACTGCACTCTGATCTCGAACACACCTCTTTCTGGGGCATTGCAAACCATGTTTCATTCAATAGTTCTAAAGCCTCTTTTCTTTCAATTTCTTTAAAACACCATTCATTCTCCTCCATTTATCTTTTAGTTCCACCCAACTGCGTTCCATAGACTCTCTGTCCCTTCTTGTATGGCCTATAACTTCTCTTCTCGTACTGCGCGCAAGGTTGGGTTTCTATTTTGCGCCAGACGTTTTTTCACCCCAGCTCATCTTCTATTGTGCAAAACTCAAATCCAACCTGCTCTTGAATACTGTAGTCACGTGTGGGGTGGGGCATCGTCTTCTTCCCTTTCCCTTCTTGATCGTGTTCAACGAAAGGCCATCCGGCTTGTGGACGATCCTTCCCTAACATCGGTCTGCAGTCGCTAGCCCATCGTCGGGCAGTTGCTTCACTGTCCCTGTTCTACCGCTACTACTTTGTCTTTTGTTCTTCGGAACTTGCCTCGGCAGTTCCACTTCCTGCAAGTTTTACCCATCCATCCCATACACAGGCATCCAGTTATCCTTATCAGGTTTGTGTTCCCAGATGTCGTATCTCTCTGCTCCAATCTTATTTTTTCCCCCGAATTGCCAAACTGTGGAACACCCTCCCTCTTGCTGTTTTTCTCCCAACTTACAATCTTACATTTTTAAAAGCAGGATCAATAAACTGGATCTTACATAAATGTTCCCCCACTCTCTTACAATATACTATTTGTCCATGGGGATTTCCTCTTTCACTGTAATTCACATTGTGTAATAAAAAAATGTCATTTGTCGATGTTTCTTACGCAACAATACTTATTCTGAAAACGAGTAACCCTTTTTACCAAACAGATCAATTGCGTTCTGTTTCGTTCAGTTCTGTGTTGTCTAAGTCAGGAATGGGCGAGGTACACTTAAGGTGTAACTGGTCTTGGTTGCTACGCCATTGATGACAGCCAGCCCATTCACCCCAAGAACTCCAACCTCTATCACTGAACGAATATTGTTATCAAATAGACCCATAATTCTCGTACATCGCTCGCATTGCACCATAAGCTCAAAACTCGGCTCTGGTCATAGTTACCGTGGTCAGCTTTGATTATTGACCCATTGTCAATGTTAGAGCAACCACGAACAAATGTACAGGGTGACTGCTT